TCTGTACCCTCCTTCCCCATTTTATGTAAGCCGCCCTGAGTCCCCTCAGGGAAAAGGGCGGCCTATAAATACTAATAAATACCTAAATACCTAAATAGTTCCAGGCTTGGTTGAATCTTGCTGGGTGATGTAATGAAGGGGCTTTGGGCAATTCCTATTATGGTTTAAGGGCTTTGTCCTGGTTTGGATCTTGAGTGAGGGCTAATCTTATCACCCTGGAGCTGAAGGTCTTTTGTAGATAAGATGGCCCAGTCTCTTGTCTTGTAGATAGGTTGGCACCAGTCTTTATGGCTGCTTTCCAAGAGCATTTTCTCATCCAGGGAGGTATAATATTCTGAATTTTTAATATTTCCTAGAATATTTTCCTCTAGGGGAATAAACTTTCCTAATCCAGCTGTGATCTTGCTCCTTGGTACAAGCTCCCCCCACCATCCCAATTGTAACTAATTGGGGGGAACCATCTTATCCTTCCAAGCTGATTATTATTGTTGGCTGTCCTTCCGTGCAGCCTTTGCATGGCCAGAAGTTACACAGCTGTATCCCAGCAGATGTCTGATTACCTTTCTTTTTCCAGCAAGTCCAAGCCACTTGCTGAAAACTTCAAGGGCCCTGATTGTCTGAGGATGGTCCATTCCTAATGCTTCATTGTAGGCTGCCAAGCTCTCGGTGAAATACCTTTCAGCAGCCTCTAGAAAAAAAACAAGTGCGGTGTATTTCGTATGAAATCTATCTTGCAAAACAAATCCGTGTAAGGAAGTTGCATAGATTAGTTAATGTCACTTCTTTTATTTGATGTCATTTTGTTATGCCAAAAGAAGTACAAATTTATCAATTCGTTCCTTTGATTTATGTACTGCCTGTCTCACTTTTACATGACCGTGATGGCGAACCTATGGCACACGTGCCCGAAGTGGCACGCAGAGCCATGTCACCTGACACATGCGACGTCACCCGTTCCTCTTCCGGGTTTCTGGTGCACGTGTGCGTGTGACGCTCAGCTGGACTTCGTGTGTGCAGCAGTGGCAGAAACTGGCAGAGCTGGTCTTCCATTTTCCGTCATGAGCATGTGCCCGGCCAGCTGATCATCACGTGCGCATGCGCAGCAGGTACTGGAAGACTACCTGGCCACTGTGCCTGCATGCGCCAGAAACCGGAAGTTCATTTTCTTGCGCGGGCATGCCCCCTGGGCAGCTCCTCTTCCATGTTGCGGGCCAGACAAGTGCGTGCACGCTTCCTTTTCGGCACTTGATGCCAAAAAGGTTTGCCATCACTGCCTCTAGATAGTTTACAATAAAATACACAAATTTTTAAAAAAAATTAAACACATAGCAGCCAGTCATTGTCCAAGCAATCTTCCACACAGCCAGGAGACAGGAGGAGAAAGGAATATTAAGTGTTTGTTAGCTGTAAGCCTTGGCCGGTCCATTAGCCCAGTGTGACTTGTCCAAACAGAGTCCCAGCCAGATCAAAATTGGTGGTTTTTTTTTTTTTGTATTTATGTACATAAGTGGAGAGGGTGCCTCACTGACCACTGAGACAAAAGAAGAGCAGCTTAAGAAGACGGAGAATTACCATATTTTTCGGAGTATAAGACACACCTTTTCCCCTCAAAAACGATACTGAAAAACTGGGTGCATCTTCACCAAAATGGCCAATCTTCACCAAAATGGAATCACCGCCCCCTTCACCAAAATGGCCA